AAAAGCTACAAAAAGCATCCGAATTGGCAAAGAAGTGAAACTCTCACTCTTTGCAGATGATATGATACTTTATGTGGAAAACCCAAAAGACTCCACCCCACAACTGCTAGAACTCATACAGGAATTTAGTAAAGTGGCAGGATATAAAATCAATGCACAGAAATCAGTTGCATTTATATATATCAACAACAAGACAGAAAAAAAAGAGAAATTAAGGAGTTAATCCCATTTATAATTGCACCCAAAACCATTAGATAACTAGGAATAAATTTAACCAAAGAGGCAAAGAATCTGTACTCAGAAAACTATAAAATACTCACGAAAGAAATTGAGGAAGACACAAAGAAATGGAAAAACATTCCATGCTCATGGATTGGAAGAACAAATATTGTGAAAATATTTATGCTACCTAGAGCAATCTACACATTTAATGCAATCCCTATCAAAATACCATCCACTTTTTTCAAAGAAATGGAACAAATAATCCTAAAATTTGTATGGAACCAGAAAAGACCCCGAATAACCTGAGGAAGGTTGAAAAAGAAAAGCAAGCTGGTGGCATCACAATTTCGGACTTCAAGCTCTATTACAAAGCTGTAATCATTAAGACAGTATGGTACTGGCACAAAAACAGACACATAGATCAATGGAACAGAACAGAGAGCCCAGAAATAGACCCGCAACTCTGTGTCAACTAATCTTCGACAAAGCAGGAAAGAATGTCCAATGGAAAAAAGACAGTCTCTTCAACAAATGGTGTTGGGAAAATTGGGCAGCCACATGCAGAAGAATGAAACTGGACCATTTCCTTACACCACACACAAAAATAGACTCAAAATGGATGAAAGACCTAAATGTGAGACAGGAGTCCCTTAATATCCTTGAGGAGAACACAGGCAGCAAACTCTTTGACCTCAGGCACAGCAACATCTTCCTGGAAACATCATCAAAAGCAAGGGAAGCAAGGGCAAAAATGAACTATCGGGACTTCATCACGATAAAATCTTTTGCACAAGAAAGGAAACAGTCAACAAAACCAAAAGACAACTGACAGAATGGGAAATATTTGCAAATGACATATCAGATATAGGGCTAGTATCCAAAATCTATAAAGAACTTATCAAACTCAACACCCAAAAGACAAATGATCCAATCAAGAAATGGACAAAAGACATGAACAGACATTTCTGCAAAGACAACCAAATGCCCAACAGACACATGAAAAAGTGCTCAACATTGATCAGCATCAGGGAAATCCAAAGCAAAACCTCAGTGAGATACCACCTCACACCAGCCAGAATGGCTAAAATTTACAAGTCAGGAAACCACAGATGTTGGCGAGGATGAGGAGAAAGGGGAACCCTCCCACACTGTTGGTGGGAATGCAAACTGGTGTAGCCACTCTGGAAAACAATATGGAAGTTCCTCAAAAAGTTGGAAATAGAGCTACCTTATGACCCAGCAATTGCACTACTGGGTATTTACCCCAAAAATACAAATGTAGTGATCCAAAGCGGCAGGTGCACCTCAATATTTTTAGCAGCAATGTCCATAATAGCTAAACTATGGAAAGAGCCAAGATGTCCATCAACAGATGAATGCATAAAGAAGATGTGGTATATATACATACAATGGAATATTATGCAGCCATCAAAAAAGAAACCCCAAATCTTGCCATTTGCAATGACGTGTATGGAACTAGAGCATATTATGTTAAGCAAAATAAGTCAGTCAGAGAAAGACAAGTATCATATTATCTCACTGATATGAAGACAGAGGATCATAGGGGAAGGGAGTAAAAAATGAAACAAGATGAAACCGAAGAGGGAGATAAACCCTAAGAGACTCTTAATCTCAGGAAACCAAATGAAGGTTGCTGGAGTGCAGGGGGGTGGGAAGGATGGGGGGCTGTGTGATGGACATTGGTGAAGGTATGTGATATGGTGAGCGTTGTGAATTGTGTAAGACTGATTAATCACAGACCTGTACCTCTGAAACAAATAATGCATTATATGTCTAAAAACAAAAAAAGATAGTAGAAAGGGAAAAATGAAGGGGGGGGAATTGGAGAGGGAGACAAACCATGAGAGACTATGGACTCTGAGAAACAAACTGAGGATTTTATAGGGGAGGGTGGTGGGGGGATGGGTTAGCCTGGTGATGGGTATTAAGGAGGGCACATATTGCATGGAGCACTGGGTGTTATATGCAAACAATGAGTCATGAAACACTACATCAAAAACTAATGATGTAATGTATGGTGACTAACATAACATAATAAAATAAAATTTCAAAAAGAAAACAAAGTAAAAACATAGGGTTAAGATGACTGCTAAGTAACTGCCAGTTTCCCAGGCGGGATTAATTCTGAGGAATGTTTACAGCATGTTATATTCCCATGTTATAAAGTACAGATGATGTGGTGTGCAGAAATAAAAAGCATTTTGAAAACATGAACATGATAATACTATGTCTATACCATGTACTTAGGCATCTATGTTATTGTAAATCATCTACCTGTGATGCAAATATATTTTCAATGTCATTGTTCAGTCATATGTTAGAACTGTGGTCACTGGCTTTTGCTTGTTTAATAAAGATGGATGTAGGTATTAAAGAAATAGTTTATCATAGTTCTAACATTTTTAAGAATTCCATTCCTTTTATTTAAATTGTACTTTTATTATAATAGTTATAACTAAAATATAGAAGTCTATACATCAAAATATGCCTTATTTTATAATATTATGTAGTATACAATAGTGACAATAATCAAAAATCATTTCTAACACTCAAAACATATTTGCCAAGCACTGTTTGAATCTTTATACAAATTCACTTCATTTATCCCCAATTTTATGAGGTAGGTACTATTATTGCCCCATTTTCCAAAAAAGAAACATGAAGCAAAGATGGGTTAAATATCTTACATGAGGTCACACAGCTTGAATTCTATTTGCCTATGTAAGTCTAGAGCTGTGCAGCGAAGTAAGGTAACCCCCAGCCTCACGTGGCTGTTGAGCACTTGAAATGTGGTGAGTCCAAACTGAGATATTGGGTAAATAAAATACACACTGGATTTTGAAAATTTGATACAAAAATAATACTGCCAATATATCATTAATTTTTTATATGTTATATATTGCAATATTACTTTGGATATATTGGGGTCAATAAAACATATTACTAAAATTATTTCACCTACTTCTTTTTCTTTTTAAAAGTTGCCACTGGAAAACTTAAAATTAGGTACACTTGGGTGGCTCAGTGAGCTTCAGACCTTGGATTTGGTTGGGGTCATGATCTCGGTGGTCATGGGATCCGGCCCTGCATCAGGCTCCATGCTCAGTGTGGAGTCCCTCTCTTTCTCCCCACTTGTGCATGCACACACTCTCTCTCTTGCTCGCTTGCTCACTCTCACTCTAAAATAAAATCTTTAAAAAAAAAGAAAACTGAAAATTACACATGGGGGTCACATTTGTGGCTCACATATTTCCATTGGACTATACTGGTCTAGAATATATATTCTTACATCTGTAAATATTGGTGTATCAAATGATGCTCTTGTTTTCTAAATCTCATTTCACTGACATAAAATGAAAGAAGAGTTACCCAAAAAGGTGAGATAAAATGAATAGAGATAAAGGTATCACTGATGAGTCAGATGTAGAAAAGAAATATGCATAATGGTTTATACCAGAAAAAAAGATACAATTAAACATACTGATTAGAAGATATCAAGTTAGGTGCCAGTCACAGCACTATTACAACACTTTCTACATTCCACTCATCTTCATTGTGACATTTCTTATATCCTAGTCTGATGTTCTCAAGTAGCTCTCCAATTTAAAATTTATTTAATGTTTTATTTTCTTAACTGCCTGCATCTTTATACTTACTTACATTTATCACTGATGCTTTAAAAAAGTGTTGGGCTTTTAGTAGGCATTCATTAACTATTTGCGAGTTGATCCAGAGAGGAAAACATCTACTTTAAGAGCAATCACAAACAAACAAATAAAAAAAATTCTACTCCCTGATACCTTTCCTTATTTGCTAAAGCCTTTTTTCATGTATTCAAAATGTCACAGCAATGTCTTCCTGTAATGTTGTTATACTATGTGCTCACTTGCACCCATATGGGTTTCACTGCCATACAGAACTGTGCATGGTCAGGCTAGAGCAGGGCCAGCACTCTCTCTGTTTAAGTCACACTAATGGACTTAAAGTACCTTATATCTTTCTAAGTCAAATGACACAAAATAGACCTCCAAGAATTATAACCAGAGTTTGACTTTGGGGCCTTGCTTTAGACAGATCATTTGTCAAGGCAAGATGGCTTCTATCTTACTCTCACTCTAAAGTCCAAGTGAAAAGGTCTCTAGGAACTGATGAAATTGTCCAGCTTATACTCTTCACCTATCTTTTGTATTAATATTATAAAGGCTGTTATTTGCTGTAATTGTGTGATAAAGAAACACAGAAGTTTTAAATTCTTTTAATATCAGATAGACCAGGTTTGAGCCTGCTACCAGCTATACCTAGGCAAGTCACTTGATAATAGGCAAGTCATGTAACTTCTATACATCTCAGATTCTTAATCAACAAATTGGAAGTAACACCTTACTTACCTTTTAACTCCTACCTCTAGAGTTGTCGTAAAGATACACATATCCTAGCACACACAAGAGGAACAAAATATGCCTGCGGAGTAATGCTTAGCATGTAGTCTTTAATGATAGTGCTTAATAATTTGGCAGATATTATTAGCAGTAGTGGTATAATGAAGAATCTTAGAATTGTTTAATTGGTATAGCTTATTTAATTGGTACAATATTTTTCTTTCACTGTAATATAATATGGAATGAATATCATATTTTGCTTCTTTTGAATTTCTTATCCATAATGTTTAAGTAAAACTCCTCAGAACTCCATAAGCAGTCTAAAGTTTTAAACCACAAATGACAGTAAGGGGTAAAAAACACTACTCATGGACTTCCTCTTTTCCGGCTGGAACCATGGAGGGTGCAGAAGAGAAGAAAAAGAAGGTTCCTGCTGTGCCAGAAACCCTTAAGAAGAAGCGAAGGAATTTCGCAGAGTTGAAGATCAAGCGTCTGAGGAAGAAGTTTGCTCAGAAGATGCTTCAAAAGGCAAGAAGGAAGCTTATCTATGAAAAAGCTAAGCATTACCACAAGGAATATAGGCAGATGTACAGAACTGAGATTCGAATGGCAAGGATGGCAAGAAAAGCTGGCAACTTATACGTACCTGTGGAACCCAAAATGGCATTTGTCATCAGGATCAGAGGTATCAATGGTGTGAGCCCAAAGGTTCGAAAGGTGTTGCAGTTTCTTCGCCTTCACCAGATCTTCAATGGCACCTTTGTTAAGCTCAACAAGGCTTCAGTTAACATGCTAAGGATTGTGGAACCTTATATAGCATGGGGGTATCCAAATCTGAAGTCGGTGAATGAATTGATCTACAAGCGTGGTTATGGCAAAATCAACAAGAAGCGAATTGCCCTGACAGATAACACATTGATTGCCCGATCTCTTGGTAAATATGGCATCATCTGCATGGAGGATCTGATTCACGAGATCTATACTGTTGGAAAACGTTTCAAAGAAGCAAACAACTTTTTATGGCCCTTCAAATTATCTGCTCCACGAGGGGGAATGAAGAAAAAGACCACCCATTTTGTAGAAGGTGGAGATGCTGGTAACAGGGAAGACCAGATCAATAGGCTTATTAGAAGGATGAACTAAGGTATCTGCAATGATTATTTTTGTAATCTGGCCAGTTAATAAATGACTACTCTCATGGAAAAAAAAAAACAAAAAACAAAACAAAACAAAAAAACACTACTCATGGTTCACTTAATGTTTATATTCACTTTTTCCCTCATTATCAAACTTAACTCAAGATAAATACAAATATTTTTATTTGCAGAGTCTGTGAAACTGAGGCAAAGAAGAAAATTATTTAAACTGGTTTTATAGATGATTGTGTTGTAGCAGAAGAAATTTGAATACATCCATAGCTGCTAGGGGATACAATGCACATACTTGGCAATATTTAATTCAGGTTAAAATACTGATTGTTTTAATTGTTTCTTTTATTTATTTACATAAAACACAAAGGTAGGAGAATTTGCCATTAGAAAAATAATATGATATGGGTCATCATTTTGATGTTTGAAGACACATATATTCAATATATATTTTACTGAAATGCAAAATGTAGATTATATGGCATTTAGTAAAACTTTCTCATCTTGTTGATTAATAAATTGAAAGCCAAGAGAGATGAGATGATCAGTTAAAGGTCACTCAACAAGTAAGCTATAGAGTCAAAGCTAAAATCTATTTCTATTATTTCTAGTGTTCTTTCAATTGCATCATACTGTCATTTTTGATTAATCCTTTTTAAACTTTGAGGGCATCGTTTTAACATTTATAAAGACAATATTTTCAAAGTGTTTTCACTGTTTTCAAGGTCAAAACACATTCTCAAAATATTTCCATAGGGTGATCGGTGAGAAGGAGAGACACTCAGTGAAAATAAAGGGTGGAAATATTTTGAAAGTGCTGTGAAAACATTTGACTGCCTTAACAGCCTTAAAGAAAACATTTATTTTGGCCATAGTGACTGAAACATTTGCTTCCTTTGGAAATGCTTGCTGCCAAAATAAAAGTTTCTTTTTTCATATAGAAGCAAATATTTTGTTGAATAAAATGTTTTGTATTTTTGTATAAATTACTTGAATATTGATTATGACCACTCTTAGTGACATCACTGTATACAGAGATTGTTTTGTAAATAAATTAGGGATCCTTGTACTCTAAAACTTCCCTTCCTATACAGATTTAATGTTCTGAAGTAGCAACTATGTTGGAAAAAAAATACATGAGTAATGAGAAACTCAGTCACCCTGTTAAGGAGCTTGTCCTGTAAAATGGTTATGTCCACACAAGCGAAACATCTGGAGTAAAAGGCATTGTACACACCAAATAGCCAGAAGATAGACTGGCTGACTGACCTTTTCACATTTTAGGTTACAATTTTCTTTTCTTTTCTTTTTTCTTAATTTTATTATGTTATGTTAGTCACCACACAATACATCATTAGTTTTTGATGTGGTGATCCATGATCCACTGTTTTCATATAACACTCAGTGCTCCATGCAGTACTTGCCCTCCTTAATATCCATCACTTGGCTAACCAAACCCCCTCCCCCCCCCAAAACCCTGCTTGTTTCTCAGAGTCCATAGTCTCTCACAGTTCATCTCTACCTCCTATTTCCCCCCCTTCATTTTTCCCTTCCTTCTCCTAATGTCTTCCATGATATTCCTTATGTTCCACAAATAAGTGAAACCATATGATAGTTGACTTTCTCTGCTTGACTTATTTCACTTAGCATCATCTCCTCCAGTCCCTTCCATGTTGATGTAAAAGTTGGGTATTTTCTTGTGGAATTATTCTAAAGATTTCTATCAAATGAGTGCCTAAGACATATTAAGAAACTCAGTTTGCTTCTACATGGAGTTTATTTCTGATATCTAGGCTGATTTTAATGTATTTTTTTAAGATTTTATTTATTTGAGAGAGAGAGAAAGTGAGAGAGAGCATGAGAGGGGAGAGGGTCAGAGGGAGAAGCAGCCTCCCCACTGAGCAGGGAGCCCGACGTGGGACTCGATCCCGGGACTCCAGGATCATGACCTGAGCCGAAGGCAGTCGCTTAACCAACTGAGCCACCCAGGTGCCCTGATTTTAATGTATTTTATGTAACCATTTTGGCTGACAGACTTAATTCTAATCCTCCAAATCCAGTCACATGTAATTATGTTAATGAATCCACACATGCATTGATTGAAAAAACCTGCCTATGTCTACAAAAGATGGGCTACAACTTTCTATTTCAAAAGTCCACTGAGGAGTTAAGATGGTAGAGTAGTAGGAAGACCCTAGGCTTGCCTTGTCTCTAGACACAGCTAGATAATTATCAAATCATTGTGAATACCCAAGAAATCGATCCAAGGACTGACAGAACAAACTGCACAACTAGAGGGAGAAAGGAAGCCACATCGTGGAAGGTAGGAATGCAGAGATGTGCTTTGGGGAAGAAAGGGATCATAGGTGCTGTTGTGGGAAGGGGTCCCTGATCACAGAGAGAAGCAAAAGAAAGAAAGAAATGCACAGGGGATCACACAAGGAAAACACATCCTCAAAGCCATTGACTGGGAAAAAGAGGAGGGCTGATTTTTATCTTTGCAACAATCAGGGCTCAAAAACTAGAGTTTTAGAGGTCCATAGCATGGCTGGTATAAAGCCCTACGGGCATTGCAGTGTTCCTGTAGAGAAGGCAAACAGGTAATCTGGGGGCAGAGGGTGCAATCTGCGGATAACCAGAGATGCACTGGGAGAGATGATTTTCCCTTCATGGAGTGCATCTGAGAGAGGTGGCATTGCCTCCCCAGGGACAAAGTAGCTGGAGGATGCCATTTCCCTCCCTCACCCCTTACCCTTCAGCATAGGTGGAGAGACATCTGCTGAGGGTGGCTAACCTGGACACTGGCTCTTTAGTGTGCTTTGCTCCAAACCCCACATTCCTGCCTTCCGGTGCAACCACCCTATTGGGTCAAACCTGCATCAACTGCAGTGCAGCGAGACCCTGTCCCAGAAGACCAATACAGATCCCCACCACACCAGGTCCCTAAAGTTTTGAGTTTTAAAACTCAGTAGGCCTGGCTGGGATTGAACATAAATTGCACTGTGCTGGTTCAAGCAAGCAAGCAACCTAGACACATACAGTGTAAAAACAGTGATCAGAAAAACACATAAAACACAGAAGGGAAATTATTTGCTCTTCTGGGAGGGCCTTCCTGACAGCAGGGAACACAAACTCGCCTCTCCAGGGACAAAAGAACTGTCTGGTGCCATTTCTCTCCCCTCATATTTAGCATAAACTAACTTCAGTAAGCAGCACAGAGCCAACACTAGCTGCTTAAATTGCTTTCACCAAGACCCACCCCCCTGCACCATGCTGGTACTGCTTTTATTGGGCAAATGTGCCTGAGAGCCAGTGCAGTGGGCCCCACCCCCTGAAGACCAGCAAAAATGACAACAAGCACCAGGTCTGCTGACTATAGAGTTCTGCAAAACTTCACTTCTACTGGAAAAAGCATCAGGTCACTTTAAACAAGCAGCTCAGAGAACACAATTAAAACATGCCACACTCTCTCCAAGGTCCAAACACTCCCCACTCCAGGTAAGGAGAAACCCTGCAGAGGATTGACCTCAGGAATAGAGCAGCCATAACACAGCAGTAGAGTGCCTGCAGCATACACCAGAGAAACTTCCTAAAACACCAGGCCTGGACATTATACGACTGATTCTTCATAAAACCATTACTCTCAGGAGCAGGAAACGTAACTGGCTTTCTTAAAACACAGAAGAAGACATAGACCAAGGGAAAAAAAAAAGACAAGAAAGAAGAATTCATCTCAAAAGAAAGAACAAGAAAAGATCACATACAGAGATCTAATCAAAACAGATATAAGCAATATACCTAACTCAGAATTTAAAGCAACAATCATAAGGATACTAGCTGGGTGTGAGAAAAGCATAGAAGACACCAGGGAGTCCCTGACCACAGAGATCAAAGAGCTAAAAACCGATCAGCTTGAAATGAAAAATGCAATAACTGAGATTCAAAACCAACTGGATGTACTACCACAAGGATGGAAGAAGCAGAGAAACAAATAAGTGATATAGAAGATAAAATTATGAAAAATATGAAGCTGAATAAAATAGAGAAAGAAGAATGGTAGATCACAAAAGTAGACTTAGGGAATACAATGATACCATGAAACATAATAACATTTGTATCATAGGAGTCCCAGAAGAAGAAGATAGAGGAAAGGGGACAGAAGGATTATTTCAGGAAATTATAGCTGAAAAATTCCCTACTGTGAGGGAGAAAACAGATTTCCAAATCTAGGAAGCACAGAGAACTCCCATCAAAATCAACAAAAGCCAGTCAACATCAAGACATATCATAGTTAAATTTGCAAAATATACAGGTAAAGAAAACATCCTAAAGGCAGCAAGACAAAAAGTCCCTCACTTATAAGACAAAGTTAGCAGCATATCTCCCCACAGAACCTTGGCCAGAAGAAAGTGACAACAGATATTCAACATGCTGAATGGGAAAAATATGCAGCCAAGAATATTTTACCCAGCAAGGCTATCATTCAGAACAGAAGAAGAGATAAAGAATTTTGCAGACAAACAGAAACTAAACAAACCCTGCAAGAAATATTAAAAAGGACTCTTTGAGTGGAAAAAAGCCTGGAAAGGAACAGAAAATCTCAGTAACCATGACAAAACAAGCAATAAAGTGGCACTAAATTAATCTTTATCAATAATTACTCTGAATGTGAATGCTCCAATCAAAAGACATAGGGTGTCAGAATGGATAAAAAGAACTAAATCCACCTATATGCTAAGAACAAAAACTCATTTTAGATCTAAAAACACCTGCAGATTGAAAGTGAGGGGGTGGGGAACAATTTATCATGCAAATGGACATTAAAAGAAAGCCTGAGTATCCATATTTATTTCAGACACACTAGATTTTAAACCAGAGACTGTAACAAGAGATGAAGAAGGGTACTATATCATAATAAAGGTGTTAACTTGAGAGCCCCCAAATATATAAAACAATTAATAATAAACATAAAGGATTTCATTGATAATAATACAATAACAGTGGGGGACTTCAACACCCCACTTGCAGCAAATGGACAGATCATCTAAGCAGAAAACCAACAAGGAAACAATGTCTTCGAATGACATACTG